ATAGCTAAGAGCTTAATAATAAAAGACACTTACTGCTTATCATTTACATTATTTTATGTGTTCATTAATAATTATAATGGCTTTTATAAAACAAAAAAATCGAGTCTAAGTATCCTCAGGTCATGTTAGTGCAAATGTTGCATACTATTCTGTGGGAGATTTGGTAAACTAAGTGTTTTTTGAAGGGCATTTTTTACTCCATATGTTGTAGAGCAAGACAAAGAACTTCAAAGGAAATTTATTTTCTGGTTCATTCTGTGGAAGGAAAATGTAACAGAGGAGAAATGTCCTGCTTTGCTTTCTCCAGATACATTTCCAGGCACAGTGCAGGGATGGGCAGAACCCAGACCACAGACACCTTACGAAATTCTCTAAATAATGTTTATTAGGTACAGGAGTACTCTTGTTACAGTCACATCCTCTCTTCTGTATGCTCACTTGTCCTTGTTCATTCAGCTTTTCCTCACACACCCCATTTCCTGGCCCTCCAGGCATTTTCTTTACTGCTCTCTAAACAGTCTCCACTGGAACACTTCTTTTCCTGGCAATGTCGTGCTCCAAAAACTGTATAATTTATGGTCTCCCTGGTGCCCTCCAATCTGCTGACCACGCAGCTTTGCCTGCTCTGTACCACCCCTGCTCCTGCCATGGGAGCATTGCAGGGATCTCTGGTGGTTTCTGTCACTGCCAGGACAAGGGAGGAGGGCTTGGGAATTCAAACCCCTGCAGCAAGAAAGGGCAGTGCTGAGAGCACGAGGGTATGGACCAGCAGAAGAAAAACAGTGATAAAATCTGATACCTTCAAGGAGCTCACCGCTTGAAATTCTGTTCACCAGTGAAGTTTGTGGGAATGGTTTAGCTACCCAGTAAATCCTGACAGAGATGCACAACCCCTAAGATATTATCTGCAAAAGCAGGATGCAATCCTGTGCCACAAACACTGCTTTTCTGTCTAAATGTCACATTGAGGAGAGGCCAGCTTGGATGGGCTTAGCCCTGTGTTGTGTCAAGAGTTGCAATGTTCATTTTCAAACATTTTCGTTATTAGATCAGAACCTGCAGTAGAAAATCCCCATCTTGTGAAATTGCACCAATTCTCCTGTTTCTGGGGTTGCTTTGCAGGAAGAAGGGCTGGGCCAGACTCTGGGTGTTGTGGTTCTGAGTTGCAAGCATTGCAGTGTTCTGTGTGGTTCCTCAGTGACGCGGGCTCCAGGCACTCCCTGCTGGGCCGCAAGGCCGCCCTGTCCTTGCTGGGACGGCAGCTCCAGAGAGGGGCCTGGCTCTGCTGCTGCTCCCCTCTGGGGCTCTGGTGGCTCATCCCACCCTTTCCAGATGGTCCATTTGTATCTGCCAGAGTTATTGAGGGCTCCTGCGTGGAAAATGCTCCCTGTGTTCATGAGGTAGGATGGGAACAAGGGATTGCATCTTCCGACATAAATTGCCTTTTGATCTGGGACATTTTCCCTCACCAGTGAATCAATCCACTCCAAGCTCCATCCCAGAGGGGCTTTTTAGAGCATAAAAGCTGCTTTGCAAGCAAATTCCTTTTATGACAGTCATCAGCCATCATCATTCATCCTGCTCACATCATCATATGCAGAGTTGTATCATGCCAGGCACTGGAGAAGCTCAAAGCTCCAAGGGTTCTCCGAGTAAAAAATGTATAAATGCAGCTAAGGAAAACCATCCCTCTGCCATCTGTTCTGTAACCCAGAGCCCTGCATACCTCTTGACTGCATTATAAAAGGAGAGATAAATGAAAGGAAAATTCATGTGTATGTTCTCCAGTCAGAAGATTATCATATGGATCTGTTACCATCTTCACACTTTCCAGGCTGAATGAAGGAAAAAGTAACTCCCTTCTGAACCAGTAAATTCCCCCAACCTGTAATTTTTATTCCTGATTTAGTGATCTCCTTGGGAATAGAAAGGGCTTTATTATTATTATTATTATTATTATTATTATTATTATTATCATTATCATTATCATTATCATTATTATTGTAAACTGCTCCAGGAGCCGTTTCAACAAAAGAAGTAAACCTTGCATTGTGTTCAGATAATGTTCTTAACTTCTCAACAAAATTTAATAAATTGCACCCTGGGAATTAGGCAAATGAAACCTTTGGTCAAAATGTTACAGGATTACTGAAAAAATCTTTTTTTTTTTTAATTTTTTAATCTCATTAAGAGGATATCATTATATGCTCCAATATAAAAAGCATGTGTGTGATAAATATCTCCCTGGTACTAAAATCTACTATGCTTCATTGTCAATGGTCTCTGCAACTTTCTGTGACAAGTGCTACTTCTTACATTATTTTTTTTCTGAACACTTCACACCCTTGTATATTTACTGGAAATGGATTTAAGTATAGGAAGGAGGCAAACCCTTGTGCTATGATTGCAATTAACAGCAAATAACGAGTCTTTGCTGAATATTTGCAGTACATTTCCCCCATCTTTGTTTTGCTCAATGCAGTGTAATTAGCTCATGGATTTCTCTCAGTATAATTGGCTGTGGGTCTTATGATATATTTCATCTTCTAGATCTGCAATGATTTACATACAGACAGCTTAGACCCTATTAATGCTAATAAAAGTGCTGCAAGGACATCCTATAGCGTGCACTTTATTAAACTGTACATAGCTTTCTTCGAGAGCTTCTGTTTATCTGCGTTTCCCAAAAATAAAATATAGTGCCTTTAGCACTGAATATTTAAATCCAGGCTCCTTTTCCCTGTTTCTGTCTCTCTCTATGCATTTCTAATGCTTCTATCACAATGGGATCTGGGTAGTATATGCAACAGGAAATAGAGCAGAAAAATGTCCACTAACAGGCTCTTCCCTTCTGTGATTCGGGTTAAAACTGCTCCCATTTTGGTTCCCTGGAGTGTCTGCTTAGCTCTTTGGCGTTTCTGCTCAAGTACAGCCATAGCTGAGCCAGGCTGGGGCTGGGTAGAAGTGCAAAGTACCTTTGTTGGGTTGTTTAGGGTTTTTTCCATCTTTTTTGAGGGTAAATTTACATTATAGTTTGTTTGGAGCTGTGCAGACACACATTGATAAAGACACACAGCTGTGTGTCCCACATTACAGTGGTTTTTAATTTGTGAGGTGGGAACCCCACCCTGGCTCAAAGCTGGAGGTCCAGCAGTGTCTCCCTGTTTCCACTGGAGCCTGGCTCCAGCTGTGGATGTAGTGGGTTGGAGGTTGAACTCCCTGGTGTGAGCTGTGCTCTTGCACAGACATTGCCACCAGCTCGATGTCCAGCCCTTCCCTCTGAAGGGACCTTCTGAAAATGGGGACTGTGATCTTCAGCTCTCAAACTGGTGACAGTGCTGTCACTGAGAGCACAGTTGTGCAAGCAGTGCTTGATTTTAGTACACCCTTCCTCACCCACAGATTAGCTAATGAAAGTTGAATTCATGGCTTCTCTACTTGGGTCTTTCTTCCAAATACCCGCTAGCCCCACATAAATCTGGACAGATCCTCCTGTGCAGCATGAGGGCACTTTCAGCGTCCCCAGGCCCTCTTTGAAGTGACTACAGCAGTGTAAGTCCAGTCAGTTTTCTCAGTGCTAACAGTGTAACAAGCAGTGAATCCTTTGGAGAGAAGACAAATGGATCTGTGTCTATTCCCTGACCTGCAGCTCCAGCGGCGCAGGTGCCGCGCGGATCAATCCTGGCAGGGCCTGTAATAACTGACATGATTAGCCATTAGCAGGAGCAGACAGCTTGGTGGGGAAGTACAAAGAAAACAGTGTACAAACTTGGTAATGATCTGGACAGAGGGATCAAAGGAGATTCTGGGAGCCAGGGATCTGATATTGCCCTGCACCAACACGTTCAGCGTCTTGTCAGCCTCCTGTGTCAGGAGAGGAAGGAATAGCAGAAGGTCACATATGGGAGGAGTGTGCAGCAGCTACAGCCCCATCTCAATTCCTTTGCCTGACAAGCAAAGCCTCCTCTTCCCTTGGGAAATGACCTTCTCTCCACCAGTCCAGGCTGTTTGGGGGACACAGGATCCCCCTAAGTTCACTCAGGCCCCTCCAAGGGTGCAGCTGCTGCAGCAGAGATGCCAACGTGCATTCAGCTACGAGGGCTCTATTATCTTCCCACTGCCTCGTTGTATTCATAGACCTGTTAGGGAAAAATTTATGCACATCGCTTCTTACAGTGCCAAGACACTTTGTGATGGTGCAGGGGGTGGTAATTTATTTGTACCTTGCACTTTCTTTCGGGAATAGTCATGCTGTTGCAAGAACTTCTTTCAGCATTTGATCAGAAAATTAAATTTGTGTTTAAAGAGATAGTCAGGGTTGCTAGGACAACATATTAACCTCCCTCCTTTTTTTCCTTAGCTCTGTCTCCAAGGTTCATGGAACTCACTGTGCTGTACTTGGTTTATGTTGTTCTCAAGGTGCAGGAGGGAAGGACTTTCAGAAACAGTGTCCAAAACATATTTTTCCTCAACAAATAATCACATGAAATGGTAACATCCCACTGGGCATTCCCAGCCTGGCCTTGTCAAGCCAGCAGGACAAAGAGGAGCAAACAGCCCTGTTCTTTGAGTTTCATGGGAGTATTTTTGTGCACAGTCACCAGGACTGAGAATACAATGGGGGAGCTTGCAGACAGCGTTTTCAGAAATGATTAATAGCTGGGAGACTCTGGGTATGGCTGAAAAATTTGGAGATTTTCAGGAGACTGGGGTTTCAGTAATATGTAAACAGTGGGTTTTGTGCATTTTAGGCTATTCCACATCTCAGTTAAAAAGTCACAATTTCAGTGATTTCTCATTAATTAAAAAGGAGCAAAACAGCTGAAACTTTGTGGAATGTACTTTCCATGGCTTTTCACCAAATCTTTGGTGTTCAGCTCCCTTATCAGGACTGACAGTGGTATTACATCTCTGCAGCCTTCAGATATTTAAAGTTGCTTAAACATCCACGTGGCTTTTGTCCAGAGGTTACGGATTGCTGTCTCTGTTATTTCCTCCAGATCCGCTCCGACAAGGACAAGGAGATCCACATCAGATACAGCATCACTGGAGTGGGAGCTGACCAGCCGCCCATGGAGGTGTTCAACATCGACCCTGTGTCTGGCAGGATGTACGTGACACGCCCGATGGACAGGGAGGAAAGAGCTTCCTACCACGTGAGCATCAAACACCCTGACTGTCAGCTGGGCCCACAAGTCAAAGCAGAATGGCTGGTTTCAAGAAGGGGCACGCTAGATCAGCCAAACCCATGCAAAGTGCTGGGTGGTGGCAGCTGAACGTGAGCCAGATGTGCCCAGGTGGCCAGGAAGGCCCATGGCACCTGGCCTGTGTCAGCAGTGTTGTGGCCAGCAGGACCAGGGCAGTGATTGTCCCCCTGTGCTGGGCACTGGTGAGGCCACTCCTCAAATCTGGGGTCAGTTTTGGGCCCCTCACCACATTGAGCATGTCCAGGGAAGGGTGGTGGAGCCTGGAGAGAGTGAGTTTGATGAGGAGCAGCTGAAGGAGCTGGGGGGGCTCAGCCTGGAGAAAAGGAGGCTCAGGGGAGACCTCATCACTCTGTGACTCCCTGGAAGGAGGTTGTAGCCATGTGGGTTGGTCTCTTCTCCCAAGTAAGAAGTGACAGATCAAGAGGAAATGGCCTCAAATTATGCCAGGAGAGATTAAGGTTGGATATCAGGAAAAATTTCTTCACCAAAAGGGCTGTCCAGCCCTGGCACAGGCTGCCCAGGGCAGTAGTGAAATTACCATCCCTGGAGAGATTCAAAAGCTGTGTAGATGTGGCACTTGAGGACATGGTTGAGTGATGGGCTTGGCAGGGCTGGGGGAAAAGTTGGACTTGATCTGAGAGGGCTTTTCCAACCTAAACAATTCTGTGATTATATGAAAGTGGAGATAAACTGATGTCTTTTTCAGACCCAGAGTCATTTGTTTAAAATGGTGCAACTTCACACTGCTTGTTAAATCCATGCAAATTTATGTGTAGACTGAACCACCCAAAACCATGAGAAGCCAGTCACTACATTAGCATGTCTTGGGAAATTACTAATTTAAGAATCATTACTGCATCTAAACATGCAATAATTGCTATAGTCATTTTTCACTTTAATTCACCAGGAGATGTTCAGGCAGTATGATGGGGGTGTGTCAGATAGGTTTTTAAATACGCAGATAGGCTAATATTAAATATCAGGGAATTAATTAAGATTAATTACGCTCAAAAGTGATGGTGCCTCGTGCTATCCTAGTTCATAAAATGCTCTACCTGCAGAATGCTCACAGTGTAATTGACTGCTGTGTTTTGAAATAAATCCCAGCTCTTATATTGCACAGTGTAATTGCACAGCAGATCCAGTCCCACAAATTGCTAAAAGAATAGGTTGCCCCTTGCATGATAGCCCTGCAACATTTCAAACATTTTCTGCGTCTGCTGGAGTGGTTGTGAAAGGCTGTTTGATGGGCTGCTGTAAGCCTTAGCCCATCTCCTGGCATGGTAATAGCCCTTCCCAGGGAGGCTGTAATGCCAGCAGAGTGCACGGGTCACTTCCAGTGACACCGCGTCCCGAACGGCGCCGTCGGAGATGCACATTCTGTCAGCTTTATCAGGTATCCAGTTAACCATGTTGACACAGCTTCTGGGCTGGGGTGGAAAGATAAAGAAAATAGATTACCTCTTTAGTTGGGTGGAAAAAGAGATTTCCCCTGGGTAAAAGGAGATCTGAAGAAAAATTATTTTATACTCTGTGAACAAGAACAATTATTTTGTTTGTTGTGCCTAGGAAAATATGAAGAGAGGTTGTTTTGGAGAAGAAATATTTGAGATAAAGTGTGTGTCATCTCAGCATTGTTGATATTGTTTCAGCAGTGCCAGGTTATTATAACAGTCTAGTCAATAATAAAAAAGTTAAGACTTTTGATGGAGCCGCTGTGATGTCTGCGATCAGACACTCGCAGTCAAAAACATGAGATGAAACAGATTTTGTCCTCCATCCTAAAAAACCCTGTGCCCCTTAAAAATGAACTGAACCTACCAGTTAGAGTGAATTCAGCAAATTGAATTCTTGCCTTGTCAAAGGTGATGGGATGAATCTGCCTTGTACATAACACAGGATTTCCAGCCTTTGCTGTTCCTCACAGAAACCTTGAACTAGTGGCATCCATATGTAAATAAGCATATTCATACTCTAAAGGTTACAGGAAGATGTATTTTATAGAGAGAATAACTGATAAGTATGTTATGAGACCCTATAGACAGGAATACTGAATGATAGAAAAATCTTTGTCAGGAGAACAGTAGAAGGTGATGAAAACATTTTAAATTGTGCCCGTAAGTGACCTTTAGATCCTTCAGCCTCAATAGCAATGGATTGATGATTTCTTGAACCATCAGTTGTTTATTTATTAATGCTTTATGAAGCCTTTATAAATACACCAGGCACAAAGCAATGACCCAAACACTGGAGCAGAAACTACAGTGCTGAAAATGAGAAAAAATTTGGCCCATTTCCAGAAAGAAAATAAAGTTCAAAGTTTTGGCTAGTGGAGGGTTTGAAGAAGTCAATTAATTTATGTCACTTCATAGAGCCCAGTCTCTATCTGATAGGAAAGGCAACATGTAGCCAGGTTTGAACTGAGTGCTGGAAGAGCAGTGACTGAGGTGTAGCTTGGGTGTGAACTGCAGAGCTTGGCCACCTTTAAACTTGTTTAAGATATGCTGCAGTTTCCTTCAGCTTGAATTAGTAGCTTTGCTCTTGAGTGAGAATGTCAGTGGAGCTGCAAGGCACCACTGGTCCCTCTGGCCCAGCAGGACATGGGTTCTGTGTCTGTTCTGTGCAGCCTTGTGTTCCAGGTGAAGCTGGGTGCATTTACACAGCTTCAGGTTTTCTGCAGCCCTAAAAAAACCCAAATCTTTTCAGCATCTCTGTCACTCTCGAGTGTTGTCCTTGCTGCTTTTGTTCCCAGGTAATCTAAAAACTAATTATAAAAGAAAGAACAATAATTTGCAAGTCTTTGTAAGGCTACATATCAAGAGTTCTGTTTCATTAACTCCCACATTTTCAACACATATTTTCTTATGCATAATTATCTGTATTGCTTCAGGACTACCATTTTTAAAATACTAGTGTTTTAACACTCCCTGCATTCAGCAAGCCATTTGTCTGATGAAACCTGCCTCATTCCCTAAGGTGAAACAGATTTTTTTCTAATTAGATCAGGAGTTCTGCAGCAGAACTTCCCCTGTTTTTGTGATCATTCTTGAACTTTTAGGGAGGATCATTCTGAGTTGAGTTATGCAGAGATGTATGTGCCTCTGGGACTCAGAGCTCCTGCCCAGGTGCTGTGTGTGCTGGTGATAGCAAGTTCAGCTGTATTTTGTGTCTGCACTCCAAACCAGAGCACAAACTCCCCAGGGACCTCACAGACATCCCAGACGCAGAGTCAGCTGAAAATACGAGCAGAGAAAAGCAAAAAGGGCTCTGCAGCCACTAAACCAGCCCCACAATATGGTGTGGAACTGCACAGGTGGCACTGAGTGATGTCCTGGGAGCCACCCTGGTGTCATTAGTGCCTTGGGACACACAGCCAAGGGACAGACAGCCGTGGGACACAGTGAAGGGATAAAAGCAAGGGACCCGCAGCCAGGGGACACACAGCGTGTGACACACAGCAAAGGACACACAGCCACGGGACACACAGCCATGGGACACACAGCCATGGGATACACAGCAAGGGACACACAGCCATGGGATACACAGCCATGGGATACACACCTGTGGGACACACAACCATGAGACACACATCCATGGGACACACACCCATGGGACACACAGCCATGGGACACACAGCCATGGGATACACAGCCATGGGACACACAGCCATGGGATACACACCTGTGGGACACACAGCCAGGGGACACACAGCCATGAGACACACATCCATGGGACACACAGCCATGGGACACACAGCCATGGGGCACACAGCAAGGACACACATCCATGGGACACACACCCATGGGACACACAGCCATGGGACACACAGCCATGGGGCACACAGCCATGGGGCGCATCCCCACATTTCTCAGCCATCTCACTGTGGCAGGTTCGTGTGTGTGCTGCATCTCCCCTTGCAGTCAGCCCCTGAAATATTCCCTGCATGCCAAGGAAGTTGCAGCAGGTAGTGATATTTAATATGCATGAGTTCTCTTGGCCTTATTTAGCTGCACTCCCTAGGTCCCATTTGTGCTGCTGACAGAATTAGTGGCTCTGAATGTCTTTTCTGATCCAGACACCAGTTTCATATTAAGCTGCAGTTAGGCCTGGCAAGTACAAGGGATAGAAAATTGGTAGCTTAGTTTTCCAAGACGTTTTTCAAGCTCGGTTTTCAAAAGACATCAGCATAAACATGTCAGTAAGTAATCATTGCTTATGATACTCAAGTAATATGCATTATAGGGAAACTTTGAAGCAAGTCCTAATCCAGTTCCAGACACATGTGTGCACTGTCAGCTTCAGGCTGATGAAATACTCCCTCAGAAATGGCTGGAGCAGAACAGGTGGGTTATAGACTGACAAAGAGTTGTTTTAAATGCAAAGGAACAAAACAATTTTACTGCAAATTAAGGGATAATTCCAGTATTTTGAGCCATGTTGAATAATGCCAGCCATTTGTGTCACAATGCTCTAAACTGAACTTTTAATCACAATTAAGAGCACACAAATTAGGCATGACATTGTATGCTTATTGCTTAGAGGCTCTGTCACTGATTGATAATGTATATTTGTATTAGTAGTATTAGTGCCTAAGTAATATTCGTATTTAACACAATTCACTGTGTTGACTTTGACTAACTACCTTCAGATACCACCAGCCTCCAGTGTAATCAATAATCATGATACCAAATCATTTGTATGCCAACAGCTACATTTACACTGGAAACTGTCAGTAGGAAAACCTCAGAGACCTGTGCTAGCTGCTGCTGAATATGATAGCAATAATTGTCACAGTTTTAAACAATATTTGTTAAAGAATATCGAGCCAGCTCCTTGGCTGGTACAGCAGATGATGCATCAGCTAGAGATTAGTTGGCTACGTGTATTAATTTTTCAGAATCCTTTGCAAGGTATTTAATTTGATTTTATTCCTTCTTCACTCCTGTCGTGTTCTTCCTCTTGGGGAAAATGTAAATATTTCAAACTAACTTTATAAATGTTTCTTAACTGTCTCTTCAGGCACCCACCAGCTCCCATTTGAATACTTGTGCATGCCCCATGTCTGGCATGTGTCCTGTGGCTCAGGTGATGCTCACAGGAGTGAGCCCCATCTCAGCCATTGAGGAATGGCTCCAGAACAAAGTGTGTTGTCCAGCTTGAGGATGCCTCATGAATACCAAAAGTAGGACAAGAGAATGAGGGAGAAGATGAATTAAGGAAGGGAAATGTAGTATAGATCTGCCTTGGAGATCCAGCCAGTTTCCCAGCAGACAGATTGGCCCCCTGGAGTCCCTCCTTGGCTCTCTCTGCTGAGGATGGTCTCTAGTGAGGAATTGTCTCTTAACAAGGGATGTTTTTTAGCAGGAAGAGCTCCCATTGAGTTGAAAATCAACCCTGTGGCTCAGGACTCCCTTCTCCCTTTGCCACAGCTGGCACTGACCACAGGGAAGCCACATGTTGTGGGAGATAGGGAGGCATTGGCACATGAGAGTTGTTCAGAGAGAACAGGCGGAGAAAATGAATGCAAAAAAGCACAAAAGGAAAGAAATGTTCCCTGAAGCCAGGCCAAAAAAAGGAGCAGGAGAGAGGGTGCCATCTTCCTGGCACTGCAGATGCTGAGCCAGTGACCACACCAGTGTGCCCAGCCCTGCCCTGCCTCCCATAGCTTGTCCCAGTGCTGGTGCAGGGCACAGGACACTTGAGCATGGCACCACAGGTTTGATGAGATTCCTGCAGTCTTGCTTATTGAATTTTTTTTTGCCTTGAGTGCAGGCAGTAATGCGCTGATGGGTACATGTGCTCAGTGAGTGCAACAAGCAGATAGATGTGCATTGCTGAGAAATCCCTTACTCCTGGAGATTTCAAACAAAAGCTATCGAATGTAATTAAAAATTTGCAGGGGGAGAGTCAGATGTGAGGGGGGAGATACCAGCTTTGCTCTCTGCTTTATCTCTGAATGGAACCATTTCCGCTGCTGGAAATGCTGTAAGAGAGAGCCCAGTGCTGCCTCAGTTTGAAGATAATAACTTTAATTTTAGCTCTGAATTACTTTTTTTCAAAGACAGTCTGACCTCTGACTGTAAAGTTATTGAATTGCTACATCTGACATGATGAAGGATAGCTCAACAGGTGGGAGCCAAAGCAGTTCCTATGTAGGGAAGAAATGCAGATATTAAGAGCATTGCAAGTCATGAAACACAAATGGTACACCCTGTATTGAAAGCAAAGCTGGACTTCTTCAGGCTTTAAAGAAAACGTGCTGCTTAATTTCCTTTGAAAAAAAAAAAGTGTTTTTCTCCCAGCTCATTTCATGTGGCAGTTTGTTCTCTTTGCTTGATTAAATGTTAATCCAGCCCATCCTAATAGTGTGCAGCTCTTTTTGTTAAGCTCTGGACTTCTGATCACCATACATGAAGGGGAAAGTTGCATCAATCACCAGCACAGCGAGAGTGAAAGACAGGAGCCAGGGCTAATGCAATTAGCACATTTATTTGTCATGCATCAGAGGAGCTGGAGACCTCCCTGTAAAGTCAGCTCTGACTCCCAGCAGCAGCCTGATGGTGCAGGGAACTGCTGGGAGGGACCAGAGGCCACCATCCTGCTGGATGGCAGAGCTGGTGTGTCCCTGTCCTTCAGCCCCATCTCCCAGCCAGCCCTGGCATGAACAGGTTGCCCAGAGGAGCTGTGGCTGTCCCATCCCTGCAGGTGTTCAAGCGCAGGTTGGAGGGAGCTTGGAGCACCCTGATCAAGTGGAAGGTTCCCTGCCTGTGACAGAGGGTTGGAACTAGATGAGCTTTAAGGTCTTTCTAGCCCAGCCTGTTGTGTGACTCTGTGAAGCTGATGTCCTCTGAAGCCTTGGTTCCCTCTCAAGTTTTCAGTGATTGAAAAGGCTCACGAGGTATTAGAAAGTCTTTTTTCCCAGCCCCACGACCGAAGAAGAAGTTGAGATTCGTCAGTTCTGCTTTTCAAAGTTGTTTATTTTTCCTTATCTATAACATTCTTTCTCTGACCTGCTGAGATCTGTCTGGCAGGTCACTTCGTGGCACACTGACCACCCTTGGGGTGGTGTTGGCTTTTTATACTAAGAACTACATGTACTTTACTTACAATAAATTTCCAATACCTATCACCTATGTTAGACAGTTTGTCTCTACTCTAAACCAATCCAGAAGTGTCACCATCACAGCAGAAGATGGAGGACAAGAAGAAGAAGGACAGGACATGCCCAGATTCCTCCATCTTGCCTCTTGAACCCCCATTCTAAATCCCCAGAATTCTACTTCTTCACCCTGTGATAAATTAACTATTATTCTACTCAAACTCTTGTGGCTTGTAAATCTTCACACAAAGTCAGTAATTGTTTCCATGGGCTAAAATGGAAGGCACAAGTGGTTTTGATTCCATGCCATGGTCTCTGAGCCCCTCACCATGGTCTCAAGTCATCCAGGGCAATCCCAGGAATGTCCTGGGTTCCGACCGTTCCCCAGCCCACCAGCCCTGTGGGATGTGGCACCATCCCGAGTGCCATCCCCTGTTCTCGTGGCAGGGTGGAGGTTCAGCAGTGCTCACAGGGGCTGAGATGAAGAGGGATGGTGGCCAAAATCTGCAGCCCTCAGAGCCAGGCAGAGCCTCCTGGGCTGGGGCCGTGCAGCTCCTCCCTGGCTGTCAGAGCTCTCCCGACGCCGTTCAGCCACACACCATTTACAGTAGCCATCTGTTCCCTCTAATGAGAAAGCTATCCATTTTTTTCACCTGGTTACTGATTGTTCCAGACTATTGTGATTGCTTCGTTTTATTAATTACTCATTTTGACATGCTATATCTGTCTCTTTTGTTCAGAAAACAGATGCTCTTGTTTCTGGGCATTATTACTGATGGTTATTGCTAATAAGATAAAGCTGCAGTTCCAGTTTAACTGAGGGCTTAACACTGTGGCTCTGGTTATTGAAATGCCTCAGCACTGGGTATTTTATTGAAGCCTGAGGAAATTGCATTCTTGGTGCCATGGGGGCTCCCATTATTTGAAGGAAAGGGACTTTTTAAATGTCTTCTGGCGCGCAGAGCAATGTTGCTGTTCCTGGAGACCATGATTAAACAAAGAATAAACATCACTAAGATCATGCTGAAATCTCTTCAGTTACTAATCCCTAGTATTATGGGTGTGAAACGCTGCAGGTTCCCATAAGAAACTTCTCGCTCAAAATCATTTCCTCACTTTACTTGGAACTAAGCAAAATTTGCTTTTCAGATTGTCAGACGAGGTTCAATATGTCTTAAAAATTAAAATAGAGTGGTCTGTGAGCTGTGAAGGGGATAAGATAGCATCACTGTACCAGAGTGGAAGTGTTTCCACTGACAATCACTGTTTCAAAATATTATTTCAATATTATATTAAGCTCTGAAAAACTGTGAGTCGAGTGTAGATGGAAACCATGTCAGTGCTTTCTGCTGGAATTAGATACTGGCTCCATTCAATTTGGAGGAAGTATTTATGATGTAAAGTCACTCCTTGCAAAACAGTCTCTCATTCTGCCACAAATGCAGTTGCTGATATTGTGCTTTCATTGTGCTCATTCCCAGCTCCGGGCTCATGCAGTGGACATGAATGGAAACAAGGTGGAGAATCCCATTGACCTTTACATCTACGTGATTGATATGAATGACAACAGGCCGGAGTTCATCAACCAAGTCTATAATGGATCTGTTGATGAAGGCTCTAAACCAGGTACAGTTGAAAAAAGTCTCAAAGTTTCCCAGATTTTCAGGCGTTCCTTTGGTGTGGTGGCTTGGACTCTGCTGGCATCACAGGGGATGAGGGAGAGGTTTGCTCTTGCTGGCTGTTGGTGGAAGACTGATGGAGGTGAGAACAATCCCATTGTATATCTTTTTCTGGATGAAGAGAAAGTGCAGACTTGGGATGGAGGGAACCTGGGTCCTGGCGGTCCCTTCCTGGCTGTGGAATTTGTAAAAGCAGCAGTTTTGTAGAGTAATGCTGTGTAGCACCATTCTCACACACTCACTGCACACGTACAGGGCTGTTATTCTAATTACAGAGCACTGAAAGCCAGCCTGGCAGTGGCCTTTCCCTGACCCTGTGTCTCAAATACTCAATATCCTCCTCCTTGATATTTAATTCAGTCATTTGCCAACTCAATATCTGGCATCCAGTCAGACTCCAAGGAAGGCTCTGTCTCAAGAAACACTTTCTTGCTTGGGACCCAGTGGAAACCTGCAGAAGTGGGAATATTCACATTGAAATTGCAGGCTCATCCTCTGTCCCCACAGACTGTTCTAACAGAGGGTAAAATAGGGAAAAACCTGAAGTTGAATTACAGGAAATTTATGGGTGAAAAATCAGTGAGGGTGTAAGCTGTATGAGGAAAAGTGATGATTTTTACATGAGCACATTTATATGCTTGGGAGAAACAGAGCTGTAAAGGTCTTTAATGTTCTATTTCCAACTCTACTGTTGATTTGTTATTTAAGTGTGGTGTAACCCTGCAGTTCCCAATATGGGAGCAGGGTTGGTTTAGCTCATTGCTGACTGTAACTAAAATTCCTGTATCCATTCTTTGTTCTGTGTCACCAGTACAACTGGAAGTCTCCTGAAATCAGAGGGAGTTTTTTTTCCTAGATTGTCTCCTTGGTTATTTGCCAGCTGAGGGGTTAAATACCCCGTGACTTTGGTTTGTGTCAGCAAACATTTATCACAGCGGCTCTGCTGCCGGAGGTGCGACAGGGAAGTCTCCGGTGGGCACTGTTTTTAACAAGGTGATTCACAGCCCTGATTGATTGTCTTCCAGCACTGTGAGGGACGGGCAGCTGTGGGGCACACGTGGTGGGGACAGAACGTGACATTATTGCTGAGCAAAGAATAGGTACAGCTCCCTTTCTGATTCCTTTGGGTGGTGATGTCCCAGCTTCAAAGAACTGATCCTGGTGCTGCTTGGAGAAGAGAAGGTGAGAAGTCCCTGAGCTGACAGCTCTGATGACATCTTCCCAGAGAATTTTTCCAGCTTTCATTTGAAGGCCACTTTGGGGCATATAAAGGTTTGAAGATTGATACAACATTTCCATAGCAAATCAAATTTCTTACATCTTATTCGAGGACAGATCAATATTCAAAGTGTTCCCAAATGTTTTAACTAGCTCTGTTCATCTGTCAGAGAAGCAGTAAATTGCATCCTCTTTCTTGTCTGAAATCCAGATGAGCCTTTGAGCTATTAAATAGAACAGGATAATTTGCCTACAAAATACTTGTGCCTCTGCTTCTAGCAGTGTTTTTTGGTATTCTCTGTCCCAGGCTGCAGTGCTTGCCTTTAAGGCAGGAAGGTAGAAAGCAATCTGTTTTTATTCAAAAGCAATTACATTTGTCTTTGATGTATTTGTCAGGGGTTTTTTCCTCTCTCTCCTGTTTAATCGGTATTCTTTTAAAGGTTTATATTAGTATTGAATTTCTCTTCCTTGCTTTTGTTGAGCCTCCTAGGAATTTCGGTACTGGAGGCCCTCATTCTGTGTGCTTGGCAAGAAACATGATCCTGTGCCTTTGAGAAAGTGATAGAGAGGTCATGGAGTTAAAGGGAATATCTGCAAGCTCCCCCTTTGCCTCAAAATTATGTGTCCCTCTTTTGTGCAGAGACAAGTGTAGACAATGTATTTAGCTAAGGGTAGATCTTGCAAATATTTAGAAACTTTTTATTAGTTGAAGATCCCTCAGAATATTGTAACAACTAAGGAAGTACCACACCAGCCATTGCAAGAGAAGAAATACGTTACCAGAATTCATTATTATTTCTGGCAGCAGTTGAGAAATGAAAGACACTGCATATTCTTTGAGGTAACAGCAAAATTTGTTCAGTACTGATTCAACAGTAAGTTAGAGATGTATATGCATCTATAAAAATATATCTGCATATGTGTGAATATCCATGCTTCAAGCAAACCAAAAAATCTTGTTATATGTTACAGGAGTTCAGCATTCATTTTCTTCTGCTCAGTGCTGCTGAACTATGCCTGAGGACTGAAAATGCTTCCCTGGATATCCTGTGCAATTGTTATTTCTCACATCTTCCATATGCCCATTTATAATGGCTGTGATTAAAAATGCAGGATTACTTGATTACTACAGTATCTGCAATGTTCTTAATTTTGCACACCTCTGATGAGAGATATCAGAGTATCCCAAATAAATGCTGACTCTGAGGGCAGCTCGAACGAGCAGCCAGTGGCTGTTTGAAGTCAGTCGGAATTTTGCCCAGATTTAATTTTGAAAAAAAACCCAGATAAAAAAGGATATATGGAGCTTGCTCTACCCATGGAAATTTTGCAGAGCTAGACCATCACAAATGGCTGTAGAGCAGAGGCTGAGCAGGGCACAGTGACCTTGAGCTGCAGGGAAAGCCCCGGTAAGACTCCAGTGGGATCAATAGAGCAGCTCCTGTTCCAGTGAGCAGGAAAGGGCCCCGAGGAGCTGTCCAGCATTCCCAGGGTCCAGGATGGAGCAGGGGCAGGGCTGTGTGTGCACAGCAGGCAGGGCTGTCCCTCCGCAGGATCCTGGTCCCTGCTTGGGGCCGGGGTGTGGTGACCTGGAACAGAATGTGTGGCCTCATCTCTGAGCCTGGCAGGGATGGAGGGTGGCCAGGTGAGATGTGACCTCCTGGCTCAACAGTGGACATGCCAAAAGAGGGTGGAGTGAAGCAAGGAAAGGGAATGCAGAAGGAGGCGTGCTCCAGCCTGCAGCACGGTGTGACACTGCTGGGCACTCAGCCTCCCGCAGGAGCAAGTTTGCTTTACCCTGGAATGCAAATATACAAAATTGTCCAAGAGCTGGAAGAATTGGCAGTAATGTGAAGAGACTCATTAGACAGTCTGATGGGGTTTAAGTGAAGGGGCTTCCCAGCCTGCAGAGCACTCAGCCCGGGTTCCCAAGGAGCTTGCTCTCTGCAAGTCACCTTGAAGCAACCCTTGACAGGAATAGAAAAGAAATCATCAAGTATTATTAATTATAATAGGTTGTTGTTGCTGGCTAAGATTATAATAACTTAATTGAAATAGTGTCTTGAGCCATAGCATAGTGTTCCTGAAATCAGGAGCTCACTCTTGGTGAAGTTCTCTGTAGTGAGAACTGGCCCCTGGACATCCTCAGATGTGCTGGCTCTTAAACTGAATTACATCTCTTTCCTTTTCTGATGCTCTCTGGAAAAACAGTTTAATGCATTTCTAGCTTATCTAGCCTCAGGTCAAGTGGCTGGGCAATTTAAAATGTGTAAAAGCAGCCCCTTCCAAAAATGCAGAACAGGAGTAGTGATGCAGGATTTCCTTTTCCACAGGACCATCTTTCTTCCTCACTCTCCCCCTGCATGCTTTTTTTTGATTTAACGCGCCACTGTTTGAAAGTGTATCTTAAAAGACCATATTTTACTCATGTTGAATAATGTTCTGCCTCTTTGAACTTTGCCTCTGTGTGAAGAACACAGCCAAGTTTTAAAAATGCAGCTGCAGGCTGGAGCTGCAATTCCCCTGCTCCCTCTGGCAGCCTTGCTCAGCAGAGCTCTCCTGGAGCTGCTCGCTGCCTTCCAAGCGCTGACAAAGCGGGATGGCTGCAGGGCTGGGCTGCCCAGCACTGCCTGCCCTGCAAGGATTCTGCTGCCTTTTCCATGCCCACATCTCCCAGCTGCATCACACCAGCCACTTACAGCAGGAAGGAACTGGGGCTTGGAGTGGGATTTTCCCCTCTGTGAGCCCAAGCCCCTGAACTTGTACTGCTGGGTGTGCAGGATCCCAGCAGCGTCCTTGGGGAGGGCTTAGAGTTTCAAAAAAAATTACTCAATAAGAGGGCATGAAAATGCTTAAATATGAAAGAAGAAAGGGAATTTAATCACAAAATAGTGTGATGGAGAAGGATTACTTCCATCTCTGCAGAAGCTTAGTTTTGCTATAACCACAGTAGGAAGGATGTGGAAGGATGTGGATGTCTCACTTAACTGAAGTGTTCAGTTCTGAAAAGGTCAATGTGAAATGCTCTGCAGTGACTTGAGTGCTTTGCTCTGGGTTGTATCTATTTTGTTTTAACAGAAAGATTGTCAAAAATTAACTCATCTCTCCAAAACAATTTGTTCCTGTCAGACTGGCCTTTTCCATTCCCATTTATCCTTTCCACTTCACTAACTCTCTGGATGCATCTTGGTCCCTTTCAAGTCAATAGCACAAGTCCAGGTGACTTCTTTTAAACTCTATCCAGCCCCTTCATTCTCCTGGAGCTGTGTAGGATAGTTTACTCCTACCACCCTTCTTAGGAGTGATGTGAAAGAGTGCTGAGTGTAGACAGTCCTCCAAAATAAAGGAATATTAGTATTTCTTACATGAGAAATGTTGTAATTTAAAATTTCTCTTTCTCCTCCTGAGTCCATGGAACTCTGATAGAATAATTGTTGATAACATGCCACGTGAAAAATGAAATAGCTGGGAGCCAAATCTATATGTGGCAAATCGAGTTAAAGAAATCTCATAAAAAATAAACAGTATATAAAAAACCCAAGGATTTTAAAAGCTGATTATTCTACTAGTGTCCCAGTTTGTTTATTTTATTTCTATGCCAGCAGAGATTCCCTCAGAGATTAACACCATGGACTAATGCACAGATGGGGCCAGAAACTCGAAAGTCATCTGAATATTAAGAATTTAAATCTTTAGCCTCAGTGATTTGAACAGAAAGCCAATTATGAG